TATGCTGCTTTGGATGGGATCCTCTACTGTAAGGTCCATTTCCAGCAGCTGTTCCTGGAGAAGGGAAATTACCAACATGTCCTCCAGGCTGCCGCGGCCCATAAAAAGAGCACGGTTCAGCCCAAGGATTCAGACCAGCCAGAGACCGAAAGGCCCGAAACCAAGCCCGATCCCGATAATGACACCAAGTCTGAGCCGGACTCGAATCCGGAGGAGCCCGAGGAGCCACAACCACAGACCTAAAAGAGAAATGATGATAGATATGTTCTCTGGTTTTGAATTGCAAAATTGCAATGCTCTTTGTTTTGATTTTGTTTGGACCTTATTTTTCATGTTTTTTTTTTTTCTTTTTTTGGGAAAGTTATTAGTAAATCTGTATCTGTGTTGTGACAATTTGTGTAGAGCTGGGTTTGTTGTTATAGTGTTTGAGGTTTGTGTAATCAGTTGATAAATTAATACTCTTGAGATTAGACTTGTATAATATGTGCATTTGTGTGCTTATATGTCTGTTGTTAGTGGAAGTATAATATTTATGCAAACTGTTTCCTTTTGGCTACAGCCATTATAATTTATACTCTCTCATATTCTTTTTAAATGTCGTTATGTGCTTCAACACACAAATTAAGAAATTTTTTATTGTCGATATTAGCATTATTTAAATCAAATTAACATTAATTAATTTTTTTATTTTCAATTTATGTTCTTTTAAAAGAAAATTCATCGTTTTCCACGACATTCCTCCCAAATGTGTAGTGTATTAATTAAATAAGGGTAACAATGAAAAAATATGTATAAAAGATATAAAACGATATTTATTTGATTAATCATCAATAACGACAAATAAAAAGAATATGAGGTAGTACATAATATACAAAATGTACATGTCAAAACTGCAAATTGACAAAGGGTCTTATGTTGATGGGGGTTTAAATTTGTTGTTCCACTTTCGTTCCAATTCGTTTTCCACTCCGTTTGATGAATGACACGTGTACAAATATAACATCATAAACGACTTAATAATACATTTTTTTTTTTTCAAATAGCATGTCCAGATATAAATTATGAAATGTGAAAAAAAAAAAAAAATCAAGTATAAAAAGAGTTCTAGAACATTGTATTGCTATGTAAAATCTATTTATTTGTTACCACAAAATGAAAAAGAAGATATCGTTGTTTTTATTGGATAGAATTCACCTTATTTTTAATTTTTCACAGTTGAATCAATACACAAAAAATGAATTAAAAAAAAAATAAAATTGTTGCTTTTATTCGGTAGAATTCACTTTATTCGTAATTTTTTACAGTTTGATCAATACACACCCATGTAACTGTATGTGTATGAGATATGTGTGTGTATATGTGAAATTGAAAGGTCCCTTTTATTCATCTCTTTTCTGTATTTTCTGTATTTAAATTTATTTAAATTCGTGGCGCTTATTTTTTTTATATATATATATATAGACCGTGAGATGGGATTCAACTACTTTATTTTTTATTTTATATATATTTTTTTCTTATTTTTTGATAGTACTATGTAGTGCTAATTGAGTGGACGAGTGAGCAGGAATGGGTATGGGTACGTGGAGAACAATTCATCGTAAGTTCCATATTAGCTATGTATAGGCCAATAAAAGTTTGGGGAAATGTTATGGTTCCGTTACAAAAAAATTTCGTCGGGTGTTTTAAATAAAGGAGAACAATTTTGGTTGCTAAGAATATACTATGTACAAGTTTTGAATAAAGGAGAACAATTTTAATTGCTAAGAATATATTTTTGGAAGACCAATAATTGGCTGAACTGATTGAAATGAGCCATGGTAAATTTTTTAGATTTTATTTACTCCATATTTAATTTAATGTCGTTCTCAACATTAATCATACATAAAAATATTTTATGTTTGATTTATAGACTGATGTGGTCATTAGTAGCGACTCATGAAAGACCGGTTGTGACCCGAGTTCTAGTTGCACTCAACTGGGTGGTTTAATTCGGTAGGCGGATGCTTTGGTAGGCGGATGTTTTGGTAGGCGGAGGACTCTGGTAGACGTAGCCCATAGTACCTTTGGAGTACATGGGTGTTAGGTGGAGGCTAGCTCAGCGTGAGCTAGGCAGGCACCTTGGCACCTAGGTAGTTGGACGTCCCTTTGAGGGGACCAAAGCCCGGAGGGGGTATCGTGCTCAAGTCATGAAGAGTTTCACAACCTCGAGGATTCTTAGGATTTTGACCTAATGTGAGGAGAAGATGGTATGATAAGAACTCTTCAACCTCTAGATGACTTCATCTATAAAAAGGGGCGCAGGTTATTTCATTTACACAACACACACATAAAAATTCACTCGTTACTCTGCCGTTTTTTCTTTGGACCACCACTGACTTGAGCGTCGGAGTATTCGCGCCGGGACCTCCCCCGGCGTGTTTTGAAGGTACCAGCGATCAATGAGACGTAACCCAATTCGAAAAGGAGCGGTCCAACTGTTCAAATGTTTGTGACATAACATAGACTATTCCATATTGCAATGTCAATTTTAGTTTACATTTCAAACTTACCAAATCAATATGGCATTGTAATCTTTTTTTAGCATAAAGAGCGTATGTGATGGATAGTCATAAAATAGACACTATAAAGTCCACATTACACCAGTTAATAAAAATAAAATAATTTCTTTTTTAAAAAGACTGCATAGTGAAAAACAAGGAGAATTTGATTTCACCGTATGAAATTTTAGTCATCGAATAATATATATTCATATGATTATTTGCATGGGTATATACTAACATATTAATACTAGTACAATGCCCGTGTATTACACGGGTGCTTGCTAATTTTTTCCTTAATATCTAAATTAATGAAAAAAAATAGATGAAAATTTAAATACTTTTATAAAAACATATATATATAATATATATATTATAATATTTTTAGTATGACACTTGTTTTGTGTGACTTACTTGTGTTATATTATAATAATTTTTTTAACTTACAACATATAACTACATTAAACATAAATATATCAACTGAGTAATAATTTTATTTTTCTAATAAACTTTAATAAATATTATTATTTTTTATTATTATAAAAATGAATATAATTTATTTATTTGATATATACAATATGGATTTCAAATCGAAGATCATGAAAAGATGATTAATTTGATATATTATATATGTAAAACAGATAAGAAATACAAAAGTTATCAACTTTTAAAATACATTTATAATTCAATAGCTAATTGAAGGAAACAAATCAAAAGTCATGGATATTTTAGTCACTTAGCATCTCACTATGTAAAATTATAAGGAATTAAAGGGTTATATTAGTACAAGTGATATTAAAATACCTAAGTTAGCTAGATAATATTTATGAAATGTCCGAACCTAGATTATTAATTATTAATATATCAATATTATTTGTCCAAACCTAATTACGAAGCATGATTCTTCGCCAAGTAGGATTCCGAAACACCAAAAGCAGCCACGTAGGCTCAACACATTCGGGAATTATATATAGGGAGGATATCCGATTCGACAATTGAATGTGTGTTTAAAAGCATTTTTGTAAAAAATATTTTTTAGATGGATTTCTTCAATAGATTAATCATTTACTTCTATAATGGACTATTTGGAAAAACAATTATTCATAAACTTTTCTTAATTTAACAACAAAAACAAATTATTAATCCCCCTATATATTAATACAAAACGTGTTGAGCCTACGTGGCTGCTTTTGGTGCTTCAAAATCCTATGTGGTAAAATTACATGCTTCGTTATTAGGCTTGGATAAATTTTAGTTTAATTTTCCAAACCAAAAATAATTAGTTTCGAATTACCATAAATATGTTGATTATTTCTGGTCATGTTACATGCATTAATTGCATTTTAATATTATTCCTTATTATAACTATTGAATTGTATATGTATTTTAAAAGTTAATAATTTTTGTATTTTTTATCAGTTTTACATATGTAATATATCAAATTAATCTTCTTTTGATGAGCTTCGATTTAACATCCATATTGTATGTATAACAAAAATAATTTATATTTATCTATATAACAATAATAGAATTATTTTTAATATTAATTAGAAAATAAAATTATTTATCAACTAATATATTTATATTTCAAGTTGTTATATGATATAAGTTATAAAACTAATATAATATAATACATGTATGTCATAAGTAACACATATCATTCTAAAATATATACTAATATATTTTTTTTTTTGTAAAAAAAAAAAACTAAATTTAATATAGTTTTCTCATTAATTTTAAAATTTAAAAATAATTTTTTTAACAAGCACCCGTGTAATACACGGGTGTTGTACTAGTAATTTTTTATATCTAAAACTCCATGCATTCCATAGTACCGGGACCTGGCCCGTTTTCTAATGGGTCGGACCTGTCAGCCCGTTTCACAAACAGGTCAGTCCAGACTTGGCCCAAATAGTCCGGGTCGGGCCAGGTCAGGCCGGGTCCAAGTCGTTTTGCCATCCCTGTCCGTTAATTTCTCACCTTTTTTTTTTTAGTACAGGGATCTTCCGGTTCCGGATCCACAGAGGAACTGACTAATCCAGAATCGAGCCGGGTAGGACCACAAGGGCGGCAAAGCTCTCCCTCAAGAATTTTAACACTGCTGCATTCCCAGGGCTCGAACACGAGACCACTGGTTAAGCTGGAAGAGACCCAAGTCATCTCATTCAAGCGCTCTTGGATATTTCTCACCCCTTTTAAGTATATATTGATTGATAGGAGAGGTTAACGTTATGAGAGTATTTCGTTGGAGTTTGTATCAAGTGATAATAACACTTTTAACTATCTCCGCCTCCATTTTTCTGTTAGCCTCTGCTCCACGTTTCACGTTTTCCTCCTTAACGCTCTGCGTGGGTCAGCTTGGCTCCCCATTTTCACTCTCTCTCGTGCACACAGTCACTCGATTGCGATTTTTGCTCTTTTTCATCATGCTTCAACTCGGGCTGACTGTTTGAAGTTCGGTATGTATGTGGGTGCGTAGATTTTTTTTTTTTTTTTTTTCAACGATTTTGGAGCTGAAGTTGACGCCAATAACACGAATTTGATTTGAATTTTGAGTCTAGTTTTGTTAATTTTTGGAGTTGAGTTTTTTCTTCGCCAATGTTTTAGGTTCGGCGAGGAAGTAGCGTTTAATTGGAAATTTGGAACTGATAATCTTTGTCTGACTGGGATTGTTATGAATTTTTACAGCTGAGTTTGATTCGAATAATATGTGTTTGATTCGACTTTTCGTGTCTAGTTTTGTTAATTTTTGGAGTTGAGCTTTTTTCGCCAATGTTTTTGGTTCGGCGAGGAATAGTGAATAATTGGAACTGATAATCTCTGTCTGACTGGTATTGTTACGAATTTTTCAGCTGAGTTTCATGCGGATAACACGTGTTTGATTCGACCTTTCATGTCTAGTTTTGTTAATTTTTAGATTTGAGCGTTTTTCGCCTATGTTTTTGGTTCGGCGAGGAAGTAGTGAGTAATTGGAATTGAGAATCTCTGTCTGACTGGTATTGTTATGAGTTTTTGCAGTTGATATTGATGCGTGTTTGATTCGAATTTTTAGTGTCTAGCTTTGTTAATTGTTGGAGTTGAGCATTTTTCGCCTATGTTTTTGATTCAGTGAGGAAGCAGCGAGTAATTGTAACTGAAAATCTATGTCTGGCTGGTATTGTTAGTAATTTCTGCAGTTGCAGTACGATTCATCTGATGTCTTATAGGCGTGGATATTTTGTGAACTAACAGCAGTGTGTAGAACATGATATGCGAGCATCTACTGGATGCTAGTTTATGTCACATACAAGATAAACGCTCGTCTGATGTTCTGAAAGGGTGCTGAAAGAGTTTGAAGATTCATGCATTTGAATTTCTGCATGTTGGCATGTGCTTCCTTTGCTTCGGACAGGTCCGTGCGTGCATAGTGGCTGCATTAAGGAGACTATAGTTGATGGTGTCCGTGACTATATGATCTTGATGAGAGTGCAGTACTGGGGAAAATACGTTTCAGTTCTTTACATTATTCTAGATTGTTGAAGATTAGATTATTTGACACTGCCAACGTGTCGATGAGTACTTGCTCTTACTAGAAAGGAGTGATGGATGTTACATGTAATCTGTCTCGGTTAAATGTGTTTTATGGGGGTGAAGTCTCTGGTTGCAGGGGACTGGAAACGCTGAAATACGGGCACTCACACTGCAAATTTTTTGGAGATTCAAGACTTCTCTCAAAAGAAAATTCACCAAAGAAGTTAAAGAAACAAAGTTCACATTCTTATAGTTCGGCCATTCCAAGTACTCTTAATAAGGGCAATCTCCGGTTTTGGTGTTATGGTTTTAATGGTTCTTCCTTTAAAGACACTGGCGGTATTCCTATAATTTCAAAACAGGTGAGCCTGTCACGGTGTCAGAGAAATGGATCAGCTGCTTATGTAAATGGAAATGGCAGAGATGCAGAAGCCATTGAGACTGGTGGCAATGCCCTTGATTCTACTGCCTCAGGAGAAATGCCAGCTGAAGAAGGAGTTGACACTCCCAGTTTGGATGAATTGAGGGAATTGTTGCGGAAGGCATTGAAAGATTTAGATATTGCTCGTCTAAGCAGTACAATATTTGAGGAAAAAGCTCATAAGATATCAGAAGCTGCTATAGCATTGAAGGATGGAGCTAAAAATGCTTGGGATAACGTAAATACTGCCCTTGGTAATATCCAAGAGGTTGTAAATGAAGAAGCTATCACCAAAGAAGCTGTTCAGGAAGCAACAATGGCCCTCTCTTTGGCCGAGTCTAGACTTCAAGTCACTGTTGATTCACTAAAACTTGCAAAAGAAACCAATGGGTCCACTAAAGCTTCTACTGAACTTGATTCCGAGTATGGAAGTGGAGAAGAGTCAAGTGAGGAGGAAGCACTTTTGGCTGCACAGCAGGACATAAAAGAATCTCAACAACATCTAGCAAATTACGAGGCTGAGCTCAGAAAGGTGCAGAGCAGAAAAGAAGAATTGCAAAAGGAATTAGAAAGGTTGAATGCAGTGGCAGAGCAAGTACAATTTGATGCTTCTAAAGCCGAGGAAGATGTGGCAAACATAATGCTTTTAGCAGAGCAAGCCGTGGCCCACGAGCTAGAGGCTGCACAGCGTGTTGATGATGCTGAAATTGCACTGCAAAGGGCTGAAAAGAACCTTGCTCTTTCCAGTATAGGTACTCTAGATTCTGGAGTTGAGGGAACTAGTGCCGGTGAGATGTCTCGAGGAAGTTCTGCGGATAGTGTTGTGGAGGCAGATAGGGAATTTCCATCTGATGCTGCAGGATCACTTGAACCTTCACCTGGTTCCCAGTTGGATGGAATATGTTTGTCGGAGGAGAATGAGATGGTGAATGGAAAGATACCTGTGGAGATTGAAGCTGATGCTAAGAAGTTAAAAACTATTCAGAGTAAGATACAAGAAATGCAGAAGGAATCAACAAAGGAAACTTCACCTTTAGGCACTCCAAAGGCATTACTGAAGAAGTCATCCCGTTTCTTTTCTGCATCTTTCTTCTCTTTTGATGCAGATGAGGAAGAGTTTACGCCAGGTTCAGTTTTTCGTGGTCTTTTGGAGTCTGCTAGAAAGCAGTTGCCTAAGCTGGTTTTCGCGTCACTACTTTTAGGAGCAGGGTACGCTGAATTCAAACTGGACATTTCCAGGGTCCTTTGCACTAAAATAATTTACTCATATACTTTCTTTCGACGAATTAATGAAGTTAAAACTAGTTCCCTCAAAATGAAAAATGTGCGTCTTTCGTTTTCTTGTGTGTATTACAAAACATACTGATTTTTCGTATGCTGCTGAAATTGATCACAGAATTGCTTTCTATGTGAAACGACGTGAAAGATTTCATCAGCTATTCCATCAGCCTGATATCATCTCCACTAGCATTGATGAAGTATCAACTAGTGCAAAGCCTCTGGTTAAAGAGATAAGGAAACTTCCTGCCAAAGTGAAGAAACTAATGGAGATGCTTCCCCATCAAGAGGCATGAGTTCAGTTCATTTTTCATTTGTCTATTTTAGATGTGAGCTTGTTACTTTGTGCCTCAAAGAAACTAGTTCATTGCTTGAGTTAAATTTTTCCTTGTACCTGCCCCCCACAGGTAAACGAGGAGGAAGCGTCCCTGTTGGACATGTTGTGGTTACTGCTTGCAAGTGTCATATTTGTGCCCATTTTCCAGAAAATACCCGGAGGTGAATGGAATTTGAGTGTGCTTGCTCCCAGTACCTATTGGTTGTCAGATACGAAACAAAATACACCAGATTGACAATTAGTCTGATCTTTATATAGTCAAGTGATTGCATCGTGTGCATAATCTTATTTGATGATAATTGTTGCCTTGGTATTTCTAATGATACATATTTCAACTAGCCACTTGTCATAGTTTTTGGCCCCACTTGTGATGTTTAGCACTATACATTTGTTAGTCCTTGGCTCATTCTAAACAATATAAATGTATATTATGATGCCAGTCACTGATTAGTTTATTTATGTTGTTATTTTAGGCAGTCCAGTTCTTGGATATTTGGCTGCTGGAATTTTAATTGGACCTTATGGCCTCTCTATCATTCGCAATGTACATGCAACTAAGGCAATTGCTGAATTTGGGGTTGTCTTCTTGCTATTTAATATTGGACTTGAGGTAGAGTTGAGGAACTTTTAAATTTAGGACTTGAATTTTTAAAACCATTTAGCCTCTACCTCATAGCTATTTGGGGACTGGTAGATGATTATACTCTATTCTGTTATGCAGCTCTCTGTTGAAAGACTAAGTTCCATGAAGAAATATGTTTTTGGTCTGGGCTCTGCTCAGGTGATTTGGACCTGCACATTCTTGTGACTGCAAACTTGAAGAACTATCAAGAGCATGACATAAAAAAGAGCAAATTCTTCTTTATGTAGGTCTTAGTGACAGCTGGTGTTGTTGGCTTGCTTGCTCATTATGCTGCTGGTCTGGCTGGTCCTGCGGCGATTGTCGTAGGCAATGGACTCGCATTATCCTCAACTGCTGTTGTCCTTCAGGTAAAATACATTATTCTAGTCTAGGTTGTTAATTGTGTGGGAGTTTATTATGTTTCCTACTTCTGATTTGTTTATCCATCTGGTTTCGTTTATTTTTCTTGAATATATAAATTATGAGCAACTTTCCAGGGTTTCCTAACTTCAGCAATCACTGAAGCATTTAATGTTAGTATATTTGGGGCTTCTATAGGTATTGCAGGAACGTGGTGAGAGTACATCACGCCATGGGCGGGCTACATTTTCTGTATTACTCTTTCAGGTATCTTTTCTATTGTTACTGTATATCTTTCCATTGCTTCTCCCCTCTAATTGGGCCATTCTTATTGTTTATCATTTCAGATTACTTTATGTTATGAACATTTGTGCAATCTCTATATTGATTACAGGATTTGGCTGTCGTGGTTTTGCTTATACTGATACCGCTTGTTTCACCTAGTTCATCTAAAGGAGGGGTAACAATTTCTTTACTCTCTCTCTCTCTGTCTCTCTGTCTGTCTGTCTCTCTCTCTCTCTCTCTCTCTCTCTCTCTCTCTACCTCTCCCTCTCTCACTTAGCGGAATAAACCATTTTATCACAACATACCTATCCCTTCTGGTGTAGAGTTTGTAAGGCCAGTTTATAAGGCATTTCTTTTTCAAAAAATAAAAAAAAAAAAGAAAAAAAATCTGTCTGTACGCTTCTATCTTTTGTTATTGACTCCTCAACCTAATAGATGTAAGATCACAGAATACTAGATTGGTTTTAGGAGTGGATATCAGAATGCTTCCTCATGGTGGTTCATCAAACTCTTGTTAAACAGAAAAATACACTGGTGCTGTTTGACTAACCAAAATATTTGTTGCTTCCAGGTGGGATGTCAAGCCATTGCTGAAGCTCTTGGATTGGCTGCCGTGAAGGCTGTTATTTCCATCTCAGCCATAATAGCGGGAGGACGCTTGGTAAGTATCCTAATTCTTAATGGCCTTGCTGCACATCCCCTGCTTCTGTTGGTGGGATCCAGTTTTCTACTAGAATCACTTTTGGACAATGTAAATTGTTTTTGTTTTGACTTTATAGCTACCTAGTTCATAAAAACACGATTGCATTCTTTTTTTATACACGCCATATTTTGGCACCACCTTATTTTTCCATAAAAAACTCAATTTCATTTCCATTTTTTTTCCTCTTGTGCAGCTGCTTCGCCCAATTTATAAGCAAATTGCTGAAAATCAGAATGCAGAAATATTTTCTGCAAATACTCTTCTTGTTATCTTAGGTACTAGTCTTCTAACTGCCAGGGTGAGTAACTCATCTTCTAGTATCTTTTAATTTAACTCTTATCATGGTGAAAGACACCTTTCATTTTGTCCGACGAGTATCAATATGGTTCAATCTTATTTTGATAACAGGCTGGCCTTTCCATGGCTTTAGGAGCATTTTTGGCTGGCTTGCTTCTAGCAGAAACAGAATTCTCATTGCAGGTTGAATCTGATATTGCTCCATATCGTGGACTTCTGTTAGGTCTCTTCTTCATGACGGTATGGCGGCTTTGATGACCATGTATTAGATTAAAGTTCAGCATAGTTATATTAAGATCTTGCCTCTGTTACCCATAGCCCCCGACTTACCCATTCTGTATGCATGCATTCTGCAAATGATCCGTTTGATTGTACTTTCCCGTGAAAATTATATTATTGCACCTGATTAGTATGGTATTTCTCTTTATATTGACTATTATTTTTTTATTCTTTACTACTTATTGCTTATGGTAAGTTCTACACTTCTACTTGTTCACAGGTTGGAATGTCCATTGACCCGAAACTTCTTCTTTCAAACTTCCCAGCAATCTCAGGGATATTAGGGCTTCTTCTTGCTGGAAAAACTATTTTGATCGCTCTTGTTGGGAGACTTTTTGGTATTTCAGTGGTATCGGCGATACGAGTTGGTCTTCTACTTGCACCGGGAGGAGAGTTTGCTTTTGTTGCCTTTGGGGAAGCCGTTAACCAGGTTTCTTCATCATATTAGACCTGCTATCATCATTGTATGATTTATATTCATGCTCTGATGTGTGCAAACATAAAATAAACTCCAAAGAGTCATGTTGCTGCCCTGAGATTCACCCTCGATTTTTATGTTCATCAAGTTTTCAGTTGAGTCAAATCCAAACTACTGATCTAGTAAGCGTAAAGTTACAGATATAAGGTTCTCTAACTCAGTAGTTTTTTATTCATCTCTCTCTCTCTCTCTCTCTCTCTCTCTCTCTCTCTCTCTCTCTCTCTCTCTCTCTCCTCACCCCACAGCACTATGATTGAGACTGAACGTTTGTTTGCTCACTTTCCTTCATTGTTTCACTGCAGTTAGTTTTCTTTGTGAACTGCATGCTTTTCTAGTCGAGTTATTTTCATATCTTGGTGGAGCTTAGGTGATAATAGACCAGTTTCTGGAACAAATTGGTTGTGAAAGAAATATACCATCATTTCAGACAATTCATCAAGATTTTTTCTTCTTTGCAGGGAATAATGTCCTCGCAGTTGTCATCGCTCCTATTTCTTGTAGTTGGGATTTCGATGGCTCTGACTCCGTGGTTAGCTGCTGGAGGTCAACTAATAGCATCTCGTTTTGAGCTGCACGATGTTCGAAGTCTGTTACCTGTTGAAAGTGAGGTGAGCTGACTTATTCATATAATCTGTTTCCCTGACCTCTTTAGACACCATTCTTTCTCTCAACTGTAAAATAGATTACATGGTGGGGTTAGTTATAATTCGCTGCATCAGGGTTTGGCCTTCAATCTGGCTTGTTCACATAACAAAGTAACTTTTATGGTTCACCTTCTTTGTTTTGATGGTATCTTGTGTCTTTCAAGTTCATAATTACAACCTACATGGTGGCGTTAGTTTATAATTCATTGCATCAGGGTTTGGCCTTCAATCTGGCTTGTTGATATAACTAAGTAACTTTTATGGTTCACCTTTTGTGTTTTGATGGTATCTTGTGTCTTTCAAGTTCATAATTTCTAGAATATGTCCCGTGAATTGTGACCACTGTTTTCGTAGGTGGCATATTGTTGGTAGTTATAGTTATGCTAAATCATAGATCACAATGTAATTGAAGATTCTTAAGAATTAAGATAATGACATTCTTGTTTTATATTCTATCTGCTCAAGTTGCCTAATTAGAGCTCCATTCTGTTGAACAGCCATAAAATGAGAAAACTGTGTGGCTCACATTAGTTTATATTTTCCTACTTTCCCAATATGAAGTACAATAATTTTTTTTTTTCCTTGAATTTATTCAGACAGATGATTTGCAAGATCATATAATTATATGTGGTTTTGGACGTGTTGGGCAGGTATTGTACAACCTTCAAGATGCATTAATACTGCTATAATTATTGTCAACCTAGTCTTTGAATCTCACGATCAAAATTTTCACCTCATTAATCTGATTTTCACTTGAATGTTTCAGATTATTGCTCAGCTTCTCTCTGAACGACTGATTCCATTTGTTGCCCTTGATGTCAGGAGGTACTACTATTTCCCTTCCCTCTTTACCTATAATGTATAATTTGATGACAAGTGTCTCTGAAAAGTCGATTAGTGAAGACTGACTTCACTTACTCAATGATGATCGACATAGATGAGGTGGCACTCTTTCTTGCCAATTATATGCTTTTCTTAACTTTGATTACCAGTGACCGAGTAGCAACTGGACGTTCACTTGACCTCTCCGTGTACTTTGGTGATGCCGGTAGTCGGGAGGTAGGTTAAACTGTATCTGACAATGGCTTATTAAAATATTGAGTTGACAACAAAAATTACTATTGAGGGTTTGCCTACTTAGCAAAATATTGCAATTTGCAAATGCCCCTAAATATTAGTCTCTTTTACAAACCTCAAGGATTTCCTCGTAAATCTCGGGTAAAATTCATAACTTACCTTTAAAAGTTGTAGGCTTATTCTTACTTAATTTATGTGGGTGCAGGTTCTCCATAAAGTTGGTGCAGAAAGAGCATGTGCAGCAGCAGTAACTCTAGATAGTCCTGGAGCTAATTACAGAACTGTTTGGGCTTTGAGCAAGTATTTTCCCAATGTCAAAACATTTGTCCGTGCTCATGATGTTGATCATGGCCTAAATTTAGAGAAAGCCGGGGCAACAGCGGTATGTTTACATAATTCATACATTAAACAGATGTTTAGTGTTGGGGGTGAATTTAACCTAATTACAATAAACTTTAGTCTGTCAAAATTACAAAAAAACCCTCAACGTGTTATGGGCATCCCCTTGAGATTTATATTTTGTATTTACCTGACTCTCTTGATGTGTTATTTTGTAAAAGAGAAACATATTTTTGTTTCTGCATAGTAATTATATTAAACCACAGGTGCTGTTTTTGCCATTACACTAAGGATATTTCAAAACTTCAGTAATCCATTATTTAAGCTGTGAACTTACTACTAGATTAGGAACGATAGTCCCGGTAAATTTGCACCGACTTAATCAAACTTGTATGAATAATGTTAAATATTCTAACAGGTTGTTCCTGAGACTTTGGAGCCAAGTTTGCAATTAGCAGCTGCTGTCCTTTCACAAGTAAGCGGAATGATTGTTACACAATAGTGTTAGCTTTCACCCTTGTATCAGTTGATGATGAGCTAATCTTTTTAGTTATTGAACCATTGGATATTTCAAAAAGGTTTCCTTTGCTTAGGTTAAAAAAGGATATTTCTTTTATGATGTATGTCTTATGCTGATACTAAATCTGATCAAAATGACCACAACAACCTTGTAATGAAACCACTCACTCTAAAGTTCAAAGTAACAATTTTTTTTATTATTATTTTTTTTTAAAACAGCATTTTTACCTATTAGAATCATTTGTGCTTCAACCACTTGAATTGTATGCTTTGGTAGTTGTTTCCAATAATATTTTCAATGATCATTACCCTTTTTCTTTTTTTATTTTATTTTATTTTATCTTAGACGAAACTGCCGATGTCTGAGATAGCAGCTACCATTAATGAGTTCAGATCCCGCCATCTCTCTGAGCTTACGGAGGTACACAAACAATTGTAGTGATGTTGATGTAGCTTTTCATTAAGAAATCATCTCAAAACATATAGTAGTTTGTTTTCAATATTACAAATTATCCCGTGCCATAAAATGCAATTTTTAGTATAAAAACTAATAGTGTTCCTAATTTTGAAAGCTAAGCGAATATTTTTGGGTAGGTAATTAGCTAAAATTAGACTATAATGATTATCCGGTTTTCTGATTATACCTAGAAGAACAGTCCACGGGTCCTGATTAACATAATGTTTGTCCCTGTTCAGCTCTCCGAATCCACTGGAAGCTCACTTGGGTACGGTTTCTCACGAATGATGACAAAACCGAAATCTCAACCATCGGATTCTGTAGACGAGCATTTGCCTGAAGGAACTCTGACAGTTTGAAACAGTTAGGTACATACAAGCAGGCAGGGTAGAAAAGAAGTAACAAAGAAAAAAAAAATCACATGGACATTGTATAGCATTTGTACTCACACTATTGGGGTGAAAAAAAAAATAAATAAATAAATGTTCATGAAAACACAGCTGCTGGAAACTGAGAACCGGTTTGGAAGAATGATGAATAGTACATCATTTTGGTTCCATATATTTTGTTGATAGAACCTTTTATTTTCCACGTACAGGCATTTCTATTTCTCATTTATGTTTTGCCGACGATTCTGAAACGTATACTTTTATCGCGAGTGCGCAAAACATAATAAGAACGTGAAGAAATAATGTAAATAGCGGAAGCAATAGACCGAAGATATAAAAACTCTTCAGGGAAGCATCCCGCAAACCTCTTTCATTGATAAATCGTTGAACATTGTATAGTTTGGTACAAGACTCGAACTCCCTTTTAGTCTAGCCACAACTACACATGATCCTATCAACTAATTCTCCTGCCACGTCCCGTAGATTTTTTACCACACTTAGGGTATGTTTGGTAAGTCAAATAAGCTAGCTTATAGCTTATTTGGTTAGCTTATAAGCTCCCTATATTAAAATAAGCCTCGTTTGGTAGGACGAGCTTTTTTAAAAAACTCGAGCTTATCTCATAAGCTACTTTAGGTAGCTTTTCAAATAAGCTAGCTGAATTTTTATATTTCAGCTAGCTTATCAGCTAATTTACCAAACACTTTTATCATATAAGCTAGCTTTTCAGCTATAAGTAATAAGCTATAAGCTATAAGCTCAAAAATTACATATAAGCTATAAGCTAGCTTATCAGCTATCAGCTAGTTTATCAGCTAGTTTTACCAAACATAGCCTTAATCTTTAAGTGTACAATATGAGTGTGTTTGAGTGAAACAAAGAAAATTAAAACAAAACAGCTTCAGTTCTAGGACACATAAGAACCCTTGAACTGAACTGTAAACAAAAGATGCAAAACAAAATAACTAAAGCTCGAATGTTGCTAAGAATGAGCGAGCATCAGCCGCAGTCTTCATTCATTCTTCAAATAGGATATTTATACGAATCCTTTGATGTGGACTCTTCTCCAAGTATAGGGCTTGATGGAGATGAGGATGTTTATTATTTGTTTCCCTCTTTATTATTATTATTATTATTATTATTATTATTATTATTATTATTATTATTATTATTATTATTATTATTATTATTATTATTATTATTATTTATTATTATTATTATTATTAGTGGTATTATAGATTTGGTAGGAAACTTATTTATTTATATATTTTGTTAGGATTTTTGTCTTGTTGGACAAGATAGTATTAGGGTTTTAGGAGCCTTATTTAAAGGACTCATCCTCTATTGTTTTATTAAGTTGAATATGAAATAAGAATTGATATTGTGAGTTTTTACGTGTTTTACGAGAGAGTATCTCGTTTGCTCGTTTTATCCTTTCCATTCGTACGCATTTCCCTACATCAGTTGGTATCAGCAGACAGTATCGCGATGCCGCCGGGACGACAAGATGCCGCAAACAAACAACGTGATGCAACCTTCAACGATCGGTTTCAATAGATTGACTACCGATTTTAAGAGTTGGACGTGCGTTTCACGGATTGGTTTGCCGATCTTTCGACGGGGATCGAGGATTTGCATTTGACGCTTAACAACGTGGTTGTTTCGGAATTGCAAACGAACTGCGATGGTTCTGTGGGCCGTGGCTTTCGCGGGGGAGACAGAGGCGGTTGTGGGGGACGCAGCCATGTCGGGGCGCCCCGACAGTGGTCTCCACCACCTCTGAACGGCTTTGTGGACGACGACGATCGGCGTTGGAAGTCTTTGTTCCACGAATTTTCAGGGGCCTTTGTAGACGCACGAGGGTTGGACGAATATGAAGGTCCGCCTCGTTTTGATGACGAGGGGTCGACCGAATGTACGGGTCCACCTATTTTTGATATTGAGGGGTCGACCGATTATGAGGGTCCACCCGTTTTTTATGAGGAGCCACATGTGGCGTCGATAGAGGACGAGTACCATGTGGTTATAGAATTATCTGTGGGGCTAAAGGTTGTGCCTGGAATGGATGTTTTCAGTGAACTGGAAGATGGTTTTTCTTGGTCTTTTATTCAACAAGCATATATGTCTGATAACTCGCATAGTGTGCTCAAAAAGGACAAAGTGGAGAGTTGTTGTCATAGATTTTTTGATTGTGAGTATACCAAGTTTATGGCCCGTCAAATTGGCCCGGTCATGATTATGGAGCAGTTGAAGACGAGACTGCTTCGGATTCGAGAGCGAATCCTTTTCGACAAGGGGAGAATGATGGAGATAAGGATTTTTATTATTTGTTTCCCTCATTATTATTATTATTATTATTATTATTATTATTATTATTATTATTATTATTATTATTATTATTATTATTATTATTATTATTATTATTATTATTAGTGGTATTATTGATTTGGTAGGAAACTTATTTATTATATATTTTGTTAGGATTCTTGTCTTGTTGGACAAGATAGTATTAGGGTTTTAGGAGCCTTATTTAAAGGACTCATTCTCTATTGTTTTATTCAGTTGAATATGAAATCCCCCCTATATATTAATACAGAATGCGCTGAGCCTACGTGGCTGCTTCTGGTGCTTCGGAATCCTATGTGGCAAAATTACATGCTTCGTTATTAGGTTTGGATAAATTTTAATTTAATTCCAAACCAAAAATAATTAGGTTCGGATTACCATAAATATATTGATTATTTATGGCCATGTTAATGTATTAATTGTATTTTAATATCATTCCTTATTATAACTATTGAATTGTATATATATTTTAAAAGTTAATAACTTTTATATTTTTTTATTAGTTTTACATATGTAATATATCAAATTAATCTTCTTTTGATGAGCTTCGATTTAACATCCATATTGTATGTATAAAAAAAATCATATTTATCTTTATAACAATAATAAAATTATTTTTAATATTAATTAGAAAAATAAAATTATTTACAAACTAATATATTTATATTTCAAGTAGTTATATGATATAAATTATAACAACTAATATAATATAACACATGTAAGTCATAAGTAACATATCTCATTCTAAAATATATAGTAATATTTTTTTTTTGTAACTAAATTTAATTTAGTTTTTTTATTAATTTTAAAATTTAAGAATAATTTTTTAACAAACACCCGTGTAATACACGGGTGTTGTACTAGTAAGAATTGATATTGTGAGTTTTTACGTGTTTTACGAGAGAGTATGTCGTTTACTCGTTTTATCCTTCCCATTCGTAGGCTTTCCCTACATCAGGGCTCCTTCTTGCGATTTTCTTCCATGAATAAAGTTAGAGTTATGGTAAGTGTAGATCTCTTATTTCTCTCCAAGATCTCCTACTCATGCATGTCTCTCTTTCCTTGTTTCCACATAATCCGATTTCCTACACGATAAATATCATTATAAGATCTATGTAATCTTATATATATGAGTATATAAAATAATCTAAGTAAGAAAATAATAGAACACAAAGATCTTCCCTTTTTTGTGGTTCCATATTTGTTCGAACATGTCTTCAACTATGTGTAATTTCAAACTTATGCCAAACAAAATATCTTTCAAATTCTATTATTTTTTCCAAAGCCCGGCCACGGGAAGCAACATTTATTTTAAATCAACATATACACACATTATTTGTTTGATGTGTTTGAATGTAATACACTGATACTAAAAAGCCACCCAATATGGACCTAATATATACAATTACTGCTGTTTTATTTATGTAAATATATTTTTTATTTTATCAATACAAGTAAAAAATAAAAATTAGTCATTTGTACTCATTGTTTAATAAAATAAATTCATTATTGATTAGCTTACACATTTTTTTTTTTTTTTGGTACAAAGAAGGAAGCTATCCGAGCCTAGAGAATCACTGACCGAGGGTACGACACCCCAACCCTATCACGATGCAACCAGATGCTAGCTCCCGGTGGGGGGCTCATCAATATATTTAACGGTTCCATATAAAATTATTTTACTTGTTATTTTTATATCATTTATTCATAATGCTTTTATTCTTTCGCCCATTTCCACATTAATTACGGGAAATGTTACAGTCTTATTACGGAACCATTCTGTCAGGATTTGTAACTATTAGATCATTATGTAACCGTCGTGTATAATTGATTTAACAGTTACAATCCCGACCGGAATTGTTCAGTCACAATAAACAAAAAAAGACAATAATGCTAAGGAGCCAATAGTTGCTCCGTTATGGAGTCAACAACCAATTGGATAATTTATGTGGGCCAGCCCCACATTAAAATATTGTGGGCCAGTACCACCTGGAGTTCAGTACCACTACCGTGTGCCCTGGCACACCTAGCTAGGTGTGCCAGGGCACATTTGCACGCGCCCATTTACTCCCAAAACTCCCCAATACTAGAGAAATTTGGAGAGTGTAGTTCACATCCCCAATTTTCTTTTTCAATTAAAAAATGGGACATATTACATAAATTAAAATATCATTAATTATTTATATTAAAAAAATAAAATAAAAATACCAAAATTCATAATTTTTCATTATCTATAAATAGAGACCACATTTGATAGGTTTTTGAACACAACTAATTTTTCGTTTTTTCATAATTTTTCATAATTTTTCGTAATTATTTCATTATACTGACATATAATGAACATGTTACATAATAAAATGAATATGTTCTCAAATATGATGAACATGTTACAGATTGTAGATTGAAACAATACATATTCATCTTATTTTGTCACATGTTCACTTTATTGTGTATGTAACATGTTCATCTTATTCTATAACATGTTCATTTAATCATGTAACATGTTCATCTTAGTAACATGTTCACCTTATTGTGTATGTAACATGTTCATCTTATTATATAACATGTTCATTTTATTATGTAACATGTTCATCTTATTTTATAACATGTTCATCTTATTATATAACATGTTCATTTTATTATGTAACATGTTCATCTTATTCTATAACATGTTCATTTTATTTATGTAACATGTTCACCTTATTGTGCATGTAACATGTTCATCTTATTCTATAACATGTTCATTATATTATGTAACATGTTCATCTTATTCTATAACATGTTATTTTATTATGTAACACGTTCATCTTACTTTAGAACATGTTCATCTAAATTTAATTTGTGAAAATGTAACATTTTCATCTTATTCTATGACATGTTCATCTTACTCTATAACATGTTCATTTTACTATGTAACATATTCATCTAATTATAAATTTGCGTGATAATCTTCTAATAAGATAAATTAATTGTAAAAAAATGATAAATTAATTGTGTTCCAAAAAATATCAAATGTGGTCTCTATTTGTAGAGAATGAAAATTTATGAATTTTGGTATTTTTATTTTTATTTTTTGATACAAAATATGAATGATAATTGAATTTATATAATATGATAAATGAAATTTATTACCCAATAAAGATGGGACACATGTCCCATTTAAAAAAAAAAACCCCTTACCTCTTTACTTCTCTCACGCGCCTGTAGAAGAGATGTATTTCACATAAGGCCCTGGCACACCTTGCTAGGTGTGCCAGGGCACACCTAAGTATTTGTGCCTGGAGTTGTCTCATTGGTTGTTGTGGCTGGTTATTGCATAAAAAGAAGGAAAAAAAAAAGAAAAAAAATGCATTAGAATAGAACCTCACTCTTGGCCCCTTCGCTTTTTGCCTTCCCCAATTTCTAAAACCCTTACACTGATTATTCGATTCTACATCAAATCAATAAATCAATACAGCAAGTATAGGGCCGAGACTCCGGCTCCAAACCATCGGTCGCAAAATGGCCGCCTCCTCCGCCTCCACCTCCGCCGCCATGTTCAGCTCCGCCTCGGATCGCTGCTCGCACAGAGGTTCCCTCGTTGCCAACCTCCACGTGCGTCCCACGCGCAACTGTTCTGCATTTCTGAGAACAACTTGTACTAAAGCTCGTACCTCCGCCCCTTTGTGCTCCTCCCCAGCTGTAAACGGTAAAATACAAGATTTGATCAACCTGTTTGCTCGGAATTTATGATTTGATTTCGTTTCGGATAGGGTTGGTGTTTTAATCTTGTGGCTGTGTTATGCTGTTGATAGGACTGAATAGACGCACTATGCATGTATCATGAAATGAAGTAACCTATCAGTAGAAATTTGCTAAAAAAAAAAAGGCTTGGTATTTGGACGTCCCTGTAACCTGTTGGTGTTAGCTAATGACATTTAGTAGATGGCATTGTTCTTGATCTTGATGAGTTAATTACAAGTCGGGTTTCTATTGTGTTAGCTCTTTTAGCTTTATTTCCTTGTTTTCCATTTCGGAATATCACTAGTGTAAGTTTTATAGTTGGTCCATACGGAGAGCTAAAATGACTTGAGTGGGCTCCAAACTGAACTGAACTGAACTTGGAAATTTTGAGCTTGTTGAGTTTGAAGTTGAGTCGAAACTTTTAATGCCTTTTTTTGTATGTACATGCTTTATACCTCCCCTTCATTTATTAACTAGAATTTGTCAGTGTGTATTGATGATATTGTTCCCTCTATGCATTTATTGCAGCTGCAATGCCCACCGAGGCCTCTGCAAAGGTTATTGATGGAAAATCAGTTGCCAAGCAAATACGAGAGGAAATAACTACTGAAATATCAAGGATGAAGGAGTCTACTGGGGTCGTTCCCGGCCTGGCTGTTATTCTTGTTGGAGACAGGAAAGACTCTGCGACTTACGTCCGAAACAAGAAGAAAGCTTGCCAATCTGTAGGCATTAAGTCATTTGAAGTGAACTTGCAAGAGGACTGCTCTGAACAAGAAGTGCTCGAGTATATCAAAATCTTCAATGAAGATCCTTCAGTTAACGGCATCCTAGTGCAGTTGCCTCTTCCTTCTGTAAGCCTCCAAATCCATTTATTATATTTCATGGTGAATCTTATTTGCTAAGAAAATAAATGTTGCAAAACCTTGGTATTTTGTTTCGTTCATACTTTACTTCTTCTTTGATGCTTGTAAATAAATAAATAAATATAAGAGTAAGAATTGTAAACATGTTGGTCCAGAATATGCATGAATGATGTACTGGGTATGTAAAATAAATGATAACCATTGAGAAGAAGCCTAAGATTTTGAAGCAAGGTTGAAAACTGGTGATAATCAAGGTAAATATTCAGTAGGAATGTAAAAAATATAAATATACTGAGAGGAGGTAGGAATTAACCTGTCGTATTTCCTTGAATTGCTTCTACTTGTCATGAAATATATGGATCTGATGGTGTTCTTTTTGCCAGCATATGAATGAGCAGAACATCTTAAATGCTGTTTGTATTGAGAAAGATGTCGACGGCTTCAATCCCCTGAATATTGGCCGTTTGGCCATGAGAGATAGAGAACCTTTATTTGTTCCATGCACGCCGAAAGGATGCATAGAGTTGTTGCGTAGATATGATTTCCCAATCAAGGGAAAGAGAGCTGTTGTTATCGGGAGGAGCAATATTGTTGGAATGCCTGCTGCCCTGCTCTTGCAAGTATGCCATTGTTCAATAAAATCAAACCAATTTTAAGTCTGAATGCACTTCAACCTTAATACTTGAATTGATAAGTTGACTTTTAAGTCTGAATGCACTTCAACCTTACTACTTGAATTTTTTTCTTGTTCTGGCAAGAGGGAGGATGCAACTGTTAGCATTGTCCATTCAAGAACAAAAAACCCAGAGAAAATCACTAGGGAAGCAGATATTGTGATATCTGCTGTGGGTCAGCCGAACATGGTGAGAGGCAGCTGGATCAAGCCCGGCTCTGTCATCATTGATGTCGGAATTAATCCTGTTGAGGTGCGAAAACATATTTTCCTTGTTTTTATGGTGTAGCAATCCTTAATTTTTTTCCTTTTTTTTTTTTT